TGGCTGTGGCCTGGGTCCCGCCTGGCTCCTCCTGCTCCAAGTCCCTCTGGTCTCCTCCCTGCCTCCTCCCTCCATCGTCACCACCATTGGCTCTGTCTGCCGGTCTCCTCCCGGTTGTCCGTCCTCTTCCTGAACCTTCGCCAGTTTCATTTGCCGGATTTCCTGCCAGCCCTTTGCCATCCCGTTTCCATCCCACTTCCACTCCTTTGTCCTCCTCCTAAGTCTCCCACCATCCCACCCTTTGTTGTTTCTGCGGCGCGAGGACGTGCCTTCCGGGAGGGGGGCGAGCTGTCACGCCCCTGAACTGTCTGTGTGTGTTTTTGCTCCCCATGTGCTCCGTGACCTAGTTTTCCCTTGTGTTTGATTGTGTTCATTGATCCCAGGTGTGTCTAATTTATTCCCTCATTGAGTTGTGTATTTATAGTGTAGTCTGTTTCCTTGTCGAGTCTTAAATGTCAACTCCATGTGCTACGTGTGTGTTCCTGCCTGTGCTGTGTTCCCCGTGGTTTGGATTAAATAAACTGTTATTAGGCCTATTGTAATTCTCCTACGTTCTCCTCGTTCCTCGCTCCAACGCAGTAGCAACCCTGACAAAAGGGCTATACATGATCGTAGCCAAGGAATAAGGGTCTTATTTATCGAAATGATCGGTCATTTTCTAAAAAAAAAAAAAAACATAAATAAATAAATAAAAATGTATATACTTTTTAACCACAAATGCTTGTTTGCATTGAAACTGCAATTTAGGCCTTCAACCCGTTGGCTCCCATTTAAGTCCACAATATGGAGAAAAATCCTGGAATGTTTTCCTAAAAAAAAATCTTAATTTCTTTTTGACTGAAGAAAAAAAGACATGAACATCTTGGATGATGACTAATCCTTTCATATTAATAAAACTGAGTTTTATTAATACTGCTTTTTATTTTCATTTTCAGCCTATTTCATGGTAATCATTTTTTCATATTCATTGGCCTAATTTTTTGGGAATATTAATAAAATTAGGCTAAGTGTTCGTTTTAAGGACAATTTTGATTACCTTTCCACGCTATACAGGTATGTGTGTCAAGTCGCCACTTGATGTCACTTGTAAACTCTGACTCCTGAAGCAAAACCACGTCAGTCTTCAAATAAGGTATATTTTCGTCTTGAAGACGTTGGTTTGTTTATCCCCTCCCCTTACGCTCTCGAGCGCTCATTTTTTCTCCCTGCTCCGCTGCAGCTGCTCGGCGAATGAATGGCATCTTTCTCAACATCACGTAAACGCCGACGTGGGGAGCGAAAGCATCTTCCTCTCGTGTTCACTTCGGACGGAGCAGCCTGAAAACTCCACTCTGTTCATGATTAATTTATAGCTTTATCACACAGCAGGTTGCAGTACATCTGATCGTTTTACGAAACGGCTCGGTGTCCAGCCGTTTAAAAAAAGAGAATACCCCCTTTTATTGATGACAGAGACTCACTGTTCAAACAGCATGAAATAATTCCATTGAATGAAGGAACTGGAGCCGGGAACGACAGCATGAAGTTACAAATCTCCGGTCTTTTGCTCGTAATGGCAGTAGCCTATGCAACGATAGAGGGTAAGTAACCTACTGCACTTGAAACTGATAATCTTTAAGAGTTGCCCTGCATTTCTCCGTGTGTGGTTGCATATATCATTGCACAGTTTTACTTATTTCACAGTCCGTTATTAAAATGGTGCAAGTGATTTTGGCTCCAATAGACTCTATGTGACCTAAAATGTTAATTTAGACGAATTTATAAATGTTCAGAATGAAGCCACGTGTATTCAAACATTATCAGACGTTTTATCTTACGCTTTCTACCCTGCAACAAATGAATGATACAAAAGAAATTCGTCTCATGCTTAATTTACGCTTATTGCTAGGCTTCTAGCGCCCTCAGCTGGGTCTCTGAGTGTTAATGTTTTGTGTGACCTGTTCAGCCATACATCCGTGATTGAGCCATACACTTTTACTGGTTTTCCACCCTTCAGATGTGTCATTTTGCACCAGCTTTGTAACAAACAAAACAAAAAAATATATATTTTAATAGACACCAACACTTTGATGTGTTAATAGTATCACACTGAAGCACTAATGCAAGAAAATGTGTTTTGTTTGGGTTTGGCAGAGTGTAAAAGTGAAGATATGGGGGTTCTTATCAATGTAGAGGCAATGAAATCCTTCATGTGCAGCTTTAATCCAAAAATGGAGCTGCTGGACTGGATTTTCATTTATCTTGTCTGTCAGCAACACTCTGGAGTGAAATACTTCACATCTTTTCTCTTCCTCTCTCTGTTCATTGAAATGAGAGAAATTGTTTAATCAAGGGGAAATTGCTGTCAAACTTGCCATTCATAGATTCACCGAATTGCTGTTCTGTTGTAAAGGAAATTTTAGATTCTGTTTTATATCTGTAACACAAGGCCTATATAGCCACTATTAAATTTGCTATCTTAAATATCAGCATGGCCATATGCTGAATAATATTCCATGCTGATATTCAGTATAGCATACCAGCTTGATGGTTAGTTTGATGTTATTTTTATACAAAAATTCCTAAAAGAACTTAGTATCAAGTAATTGAGGTCAAAAAGAGGTCAAAGCAGGATAATTTGACTGAAAGCATATCTGTAACGCCATGAATATGCTTATTTGACTCTTAGCTTTTGATTCAGCCCTAAAATTTACCCTAAACTACCTTTTACCCTTAAAAGACCAGACCAGATGTTTTGCTGTCGGGGAAGTCAAGAGGACATTTGTACACATTTGTGGCCAGTGACTAATGAGGTCATGTCTGTGAACTTTGTACATCTATATGCAAATAACTCCAAGGTTTTCATGATCTTTTATTTGATTCTGTAAGAAGGAAATAACATTATTTTCACTGTAGCACCAGATGAATGCATATGTCCTTGAATCGAGAGGGTTATTCATTGCGAGTCTGTGTTTTTTACTCTTTGTGTAGGGATGTCCTATGAATTGCAGCATGCTCGAGTACATTAAAGTAGCTTTTAACGTCCTGATGCAATTGACAGAAATCTCACTTTTATTGAGGAGAGAAAAGAACTCATTAACACAATGAATGAAGAGCCAACAACTTCACGCATAACCCTTTTCCCACAAAATTTGAACTTGCCTTTACCTTGAAATAGGCTTGTACACACTTCAGAATGCATATACAAATACACTCTATTCACACTCTCTTGCTCACCCTCCTCCCCCTTCTTGTTTTTTGATTTACACGTCCTTATTCACTCCCTGGTTGGTTGAATCGTAAACCCAGGCGAGATGGCCTGCCCTGCGCACAGTCTTTATTTATGGTGTCATTTCATATACTTGCTGTTGCAAGACCCACAGCCCTGCTGAGCTGGAAAAACAGCTTCCCACAGACAGACTGAGAAACCTTTTGCCAGGGCACGACAGACTGCGATGAGAAAGGAAGTGATGCTGGTCGTTCAGCAACGATAGGCGTAACATCCTGTAAAAATGTCATTAATACGATGGAGCACAGATTGCTATGCCATTAATGATGGAGGGTACCTTACAGAGGACATTTATGGACAACCCCAACCCCCAAATGAGCGCACTTAATTTTTATTTAATGGATCCTACCTACGTTTATAAACTGATGCATTTATAAACTTGCAAGGACATATCAGGAAAGGGCATATATAAATGGAGAAAGACAAAACCAAGGAGGAAGAGAGAAGAGGAAGGGTAAAAGAATGGACAGAGAGTAGGTTTTGAATAATCATAAAAGCCAATTAGGCACAACACTTATATTTACAATATAGCATGACCTCTGGCGTGTTTTTCTGCATAATAAACATGCCTGTGAAATGTTATTTTATCAAGAAAATTCATTCTGTGTTACCCTTCCAATAGATCATACTGTATATTCCTTGACATGTAGATGTACATTATATTAAATTTATATTATAAAATGTAAAATTATATCAAATTACATTATACACATGATATTAAATATACGTTAGCTGTTGCGGTATTGTATATTTTAGCATGTCTGGAATATACAGGACTGGGACCATCCTAGTCATAATGACCTAAAATAGAATTATGAATTATACTGTATAATGGAATTAAGAACTCTCAGTGAGTGCATGCATGAATGTTCTGGAAGTACTCTGAATATAACAATCATGCTGAGAATTACAGTGTAAACTTTCATTCAAGCTTTATTATTCTGCATCTCAACCAGTCAGAAATACATATTCCATGAAAACAGACTATTTTTGTAAATGCCCATTTTATTTGTTGTTACATATCCATGTCTGAAATAGTGCAGACATAGGCCTTATTTACTTGTAAATAGAAAGTCAATGTGTAGCATGTACCATTTTTTGGGGAAAGTGGAGTGTTGTTCATTTTAAAGAAATAATAAAGAAAAGCATTTGCAGATATATATACTGACAAAAGATAAAGAACAGCAGCTTGTAAATGCTTTATTAAAATGCTATTTACAGGGATAGTTAATACTAAAATTAAAATTATGTCATTATTTACTCTCATTGTTCCAAAATAAACGTTCCTTCGTCTTTGAAACACAAATTTTAATATTCATTTTGTTTTTTAAATTCTCACATTTTTTAATATAAATAGAAAGTATGTAATCAATTTTTTAAGCTTCAAAAAGTACCTAAAACATGATCACTTTAAATGATGAACAGATTTAGGTTTTAATTTAGGTTTTTATTCACTTATAAACATTTATAAACACACATACTGAGGGACGCACAAGAACAAATCTCTTTGTATAATGGCTTTTGAATACCATTTATATATGATAACAGATTTTTCATTTTAAGTGACCTAACTCTTAAAATGTTACATTTAAAATTATTTTGCATTTTACTATTTACTATTTCATTTAATTACATGAATTAAATTGAATTAAGACTTAATATTTTTAAAGACATCTATTTATAATAATAGCAAAATGTTTATTTAAAAAAAACATTTTGTGCTCCATAGTTCAGTAAGTGTGTGTGTGTGTGTGTGGGTGTGAGAGAGAGAGTGTAATCATTAATGCTAGAGTGTGTGTGTGTAGTCGTGGGCGCATCTTGTTCTCCTGATGCTCTGTGTAGTGTGCTTGTCTGAGGTCATCATGTCATGGCAATGGTTGCGTCAGCAGAAGGAGCTCTGAGAAACATGGGCCAGCTGTCACTTCATGAAGTCACTTCACTTCATGATGTGCTCATCTAACACTCGTGGGAGAGTGTTTCTGAATTTAATGTGTGATTTCTCTAGATGGCAAATTCAATGTGGACCTACTTCCTGCATAACGTATGCATGTATAGGCCTCTTATACTGGTAATCAGCATGGAAGCTTTAGATTATGCTTTACCTTATCACCACATGCCACCTGAGGCTGTTGTGTCATTTTAGTTCCTTTTAATTGTTCTAAAATTAATCCACCCTGTTTCTCTAGCTCCTGAAGAGTTTGTCTCACTAGCTGAGATGGAGGACACGTTGTTGAGGAATCTTTTTCGGGGCTATCAGAAGTGGGTGAGACCAATCCTTCACGCCAACGACACGATTACCGTTCGCTTCGGTCTGAAGATCTCACAGCTGGTGGATGTGGTGAGACAAACACACATTTGCACTGCAACATCTGGGGCCGGTTGCATAAACTGCTTAGACTAGTCTTAAAAATTTTGTCATCTAATTTGTTTTCTTCAAGGCTGGTCATAATTTTTAAAAGTCAGTCACAAAAAGTTAGATTGGCCCAATTTGAGTCAGAAAAGTAACACTGATTACCTCTTGGCTAACTGCTAGTTGGTTACTTACAGATCTTCTTTATGCACCAAGAGCTTGTAACACTCTAAAGAGAAAGGAAAAAATGAAATCGCATCATATGACCCCTTTAAGACGAAGTCTTAACATAGTGGCTATGTTTATGCAACTGGCCCCTGATCTTCAGAAGTCATGAAACGCCCTAAACAAATATGTCTTTACTGAACACAGTGTATAAACATGCAAAAGGCAGGGAGGAAAAAGTATGTGAATCCTTAGGCTAATGACTTCTTCAAAAGCTACTTAAAAACAGCTGTCTTAATGCTGTCAGTTGCTTTGCTGTTGAAAAAACTCTGCATGGCTAAAGTTCAAAATGTGAAGTGGATTTTCAAGTTTATGTATTTTATGTGCCAGCTATTTTTTTCTATTGTTGTTGCACAGCCAAGATGCATCTTCACATAGTCAAAAACAGGTTCAAAGTCCATATGTCACTATATGGATGCCCGTTTCCGCCACTGAATAAAAAATATAAAAAAGCTAATTGCGACTTTTTATCTCACAATTCTGACTTTTTTCTTGGAATTGCACGTTTATATCGCGCAATTCTGACTTTTTTTTAGAATTGTGAGTTGCAAACTCGCCATTGTGAGTTATAAAGTCAGAATTGCGTGATACAAACTCGCAATTCTTACTCATTTTTCTCAGAATTTTGATATAAACTCGTTTATATCTCACAATTCTGACTTTTATTTTTTTAGAATTGTGAGATTAAGTTATAAATTCCAATTCTGAGGGGGAAAAAGAAAGAATTGCAATTGTGTTATTAAGTCAGAATTGCGAGATCTAAAATTGCAATTCTGAGAAAAAAGTCACAGTTGCTAGTTTATATCTCACAATTCTGATTTTAGCTGCAACTCGCAATTGCGAGTTTATATCACGCAATTCTGAGAAAAAGTCAGAATTGCAAAATGTAAACTCGCAATTGCGAGAAAAAATTTACGAATTGTGAGATAAAAAGTCTCAATTACCTTTTTTTTTTTTTTCCCCCCCATATCACTATGCTGAAGTTAGTTGCTACTTTAAAAGACAAGCTTGTTTTCTCACTTATTATAGAACAGAACTGATTAGTCTAGGAAGGATATGAGAGTGGCAACTCAGACCATAATTTACCCAACATCATCATGACAACCTGCTGTATCACACTTTATCACACACGTCTCTCTATCTAATTAATTCTCTCTTTCTCTGTTCTCCTTTTTACTTGTGACCCACTGTATTGATCCTGCTGATGCTGAGCATTCATGTCCCTGACTGAAAATGCATGCTCGTGTGTGTGTTTACCTGGTATTCCCTACGTTATGTTCCCACAAGGATAGTAATACCAGTAATTTTTGACCTTGTGGGAACATTTTTTGGTCCCCATGAGGAAAACAGCTTATAAATCATACATTTTTTTTAAATCTAAAAATGCAAAAAAGTTTTATGTGAGGGGTAAGATTAGGGTAGGTGTAAGTGTAATAGAAAATATAGTTTGTACAGTATAAAAACCATTATGTCTATGGAATGGCCCCATAAAACATGGAAACCAGTGTGTGTGTGTGTGTGTGTGTGTGTGTGTGTGTGTGTGCGATATTAGGTACTAGAAACACTTTTATCATTTTTAACTGCAAAGCTTATCACTGAACTGTAAAGCTTACCCGATCATCCAAGTTTTTTTCCTTTTACTCATTACTGAGTTCGTGAAAAATAACTATGACTGCCAGAGCCATGGCCTAGCAGCTAGCACATGTGCATGTTGAGATGTAATGTAGCACTCATGTAGGCATTATGAGGCATTACCCTTCAAGGCTTATATTAGGTTTTTTGGCATTATTCATATTATATTCATACTTAAACATGGCATATAGTAGAATATAGTGTAGTATTAAAGGGAGAGTTCACCCAAAAATAAAAATTCTGTCATCATTTACTCGTGTTTGGTTATTTACATTTTTACCATTTACATCCACTATATCAGGGTTCCTCAACAGGCACATCCGGCCGTGAGAGAAAAAAGTTTGGCTCCCGCTAATTTCAAATTATGTGGCATGAAAATTCAAACGCAGCATCAGAAAGCTACATTAATTTACATCGTGTCTACACTGGACGCGAGCGGCGCGGCGCGACGCAATAAAATACAAGAACTCCTTATAATCAGTGATGCTGTCTTGGATGCGGCGCGACACGACAAATCCCCGACAGTAAACTGCTGACTCGTTCTATTTATAACGTAGGCTAGGCATACTGACACAACGTTCAAATGATTTGCAATGCTTTGTCGCTTCCAGTGAAGATACGATGTGACAGCAAAAACATGGTGAGTGTGTA